GGAAGCCCAAGCCCTAGCTGCTCTGCCCCAGGCTTCCTGGAATCAGCTGCTGATCAGTTTCAGCAGCAGCTGACTTGGGGACGCCTGGGGTTCTTAAGTTGAATCTGTATGTAAGTCAGAACTGGTGTCCAGATTCAGCGGCTGAATCTGGATGCCAGTTCCGACTTACATACAGATTCAATTTAAGAACAAACCTACAGTCCCTATCTTGCCCTAGCTGCTCTGCCCCAGGCTTCCTGGAATCAGCTGCTGATCAGTTTCAGCAGCAGCTGACTTGGGGACGCCTGGGGTTCTTAAGTTGAATCTGTATGTAAGTCAGAACTGGTGTCCAGATTCAGCGGCTGAATCTGGATGCCAGTTCCGACTTACATACAGATTCAATTTAAGAACAAACCTACAGTCCCTATCTTGTACGTAACCCGGGGACTGCCTGTATTTCAAAATAAGTGTTATTCCTCATGGAAAGCAGGAGTTGTTATTTTGAAATAACCAGCCCCTTATTTCAAAATAACGGACTTGGTAGTGTGGATGCTCCACTTGTTATTTCAAAATAAGGGGAATTTGAATGATTTTGAAATAACTCCCTAGTATAGACCAGGGTGAAGGTGTCGCAGGACTACTCGTTGTTATTCATTTACTGGTTTGTAGGAAAAAGTACAAATAATAGTCTCTTTGTTAATTATCAGTGGTACAAAAAGCTACGCCCAATAAAATTGGATTTATTCCTTTCAGATGCATTGCCTGTGCCTTGTCGATACAGGTTTGTGCTTAGAACAGAATGTTTTCCACTCCAGAAAGTTCCTTCACTAAAAACCTAACTTCTCTTGACCAAAGATCAGATAGCTCCTGGCCTTTTCATGAGAGAGAGAGAGAATAGAAGGAGGTCTCCCTTCACCTCCATTGGTGGTTCAAACACTTGAGACCCAGTACAAGCCACAAGCACAGAGGGCTCATATGAAAACTCCACTAAAAAGCTGAGTGCACTGGAGAGGAGACAAAAGCAGTTCTAGTCAACTGTCAAGTCATAGAGCAGACCAGACTCCTTCCATTATGGGAGTTTGGGAAGAATGTTTATAACGGTACAAAGATTTACTGACTATGAATGTTTATCTTCAGTTTGCTTATATTATTCTTGGGTCCAGTTTCAAAACAAGGTTATTGTAATTATTGTAAGAAATAATCCTGGAAAGTAGCTGGTGTCAGTAAGTCCCTTTTGAACTCTTTTGAATTCTTAAAGGCTCAAATGCAAAACTTTTAAAGCGGTTTCTCTGTTTTCAGTGTCAGTGTTTAGTGTATCACAATATACAGCATGTGCTTGTGTGTCATCATAACCCAAAATGTCATTTGATTCAGTCAACATCTAAGGGCCTATTTATATCTTCGGAATCTTAAGAACCGTGGGAAGTAGGTTAACTTTTGAAGATAAGTTTGTGGTAAAGGAGTTTGCTACATATCAGCATGATAAAGCAGTAGTGAAAAATTAAGTTGCTAATATTGTTCTGTTTTAGACTCCTCTGAGAAAATGTTCGGAATCCTGCTGATCTTGATACTGCAATTGCAGCTCTACTTGATAAGAGGTAAGAGATCTTTTTATGTAATCTATCAATTTCATGTGACACCCACAACCTCCCATTACTGTGGCAACTGAGCACTTATAGCATCCTGCCCTTATTGCCCTAAAGTTATCAGGCTTTTAGTTGCATAATAACTCGCTCTCACACATTCAGTGAAACAAACAGACTTTAACTGGATAAGAGAGAAATAAACAAAATAAAAACAAAAGCCTCAAATGAGTCTGATCCTATTTATTATTATTATGCTGTGAGTAATTATTTAATATTTGGTTTGTGGTAACACAAAAGGCTCCGCTCAGGATCAAAGTTCCAAATACCAGATGTTATGCAAATATATTAGAAGACACTGTTAGGACCTAGGGACAAGTCAAAGAATTGGCTAGCTCTCCATATAAGGCAGGGGTGTGGACCTCTGGCCTGTGGGCCATATGTGGTTGGTCAGGGTTAGCCGCTGGCACTTTATTTAAACTGAGTGTCTTCAGGCACAGCTGCTTGTAGCTCTCAGTGGCCTTGGTTCACTATTCCCAGCCAAGGGGAGCTGTGGGAATTAGTGGTCTGGCCTGTGCTGCTTCACCCAGGTCCCATTGGCTAGGAATGGTGACTGCAGTCACTGGGAGCTGAGAGCAGCCATGCCTGCAGACGCTTAGGTAAACAAAGTGTCTGGCAGCTTGCTAGGGGCTCACCCTGGTGAACCGCATCTAGCCAGCATGCTGGAGTTTTCAGAATGATCAAGAGAAAATGAATCTTGGGCCCAGATCTCTGTTGTCCTAATACACTTTATGCCTCTCTCCACTGAGGAATATTTCCAGTACAGAGGCTATTTATATGATAAAGCCAACTATGCTGGCCCTAATATGCCCCGGTTTAGGGTCTTCTATCTAAGGGTATGTCTACACTACCACCCTAGTTCGAACTTGGGTGGTTAATGTAGGCAACCGGAGTTGCAAATGAAGCCCGGGATTTGAATTTCCCAGGCTTCATTTGCATATTGCCGGGCGCCGCCATTTTTAAATGTCCGCTAGTTCGGACTCCGTGCCCGCGGCTACACGCGGCACGAACTAGGTAGTTCGGATTAGGCTTTCTATTCCGAACTACCTGTACTCCTCGTAAGCCTAATCCGAACTACCTAGTTTGTGCCGTGTGTAGCCGCGGGCACGGAGTCCGAACTAGCCGGCATTTAAAAATGGCGCCGGACGGCTTCACCCCCACTGGGAAATTGAGCCCACATTTCTTAAGAGTCAAGCTAACACCTGAACTACTGTACCATCCTCCCCCTGTAGGCCTAGCTATGGGTGTGAGTGAGGACAGAGCTCTGTAGAAGGCTGTGCTCTTGGCTGCTGCAGAAGCCCTTAGATTAGTGGTTCCCAAAGTGTTGGTCGTGGCTCTCAGCAGGGTCACTCCATCAGCAAATAGGGTGCTGGTAATCCCGAGTGTGTGGAGGATGCCATTTTACTGATCTAATGTCTGCCACTGACAGTTCAGGATGATTTAATAACTTCACACCATTTAAGGCCAGGAGGGATAACCAGAGCATCTACTTTGACCTCCTGTATATCACAGACCATTACATTTCACCCAGATACTCCTACGTTAATCCCAAAGACTTTAGTGAGACCCAAGACTTTCAGTCCTCAGGAGACTCAACTGTATGCCAGTCAACGAACTGGAGTGACCCCGGTGCTACCAGTGCAATGGCAAAAAACTGATTAGATGTGTGGGGGTTCGTACTGCTCCCCCTCCTTTTTCTCCCCCTTTTGTCCCCAGTCCCAGTCCCCTTTCTTCGGTCGGTGTGCTTACAACCACGGAAGTGCGGGGAGGGCGGGTCCGGGCCCACCTTCTCTCCCGGACCCCAGCCCAGGGCCCTAAGGACAGGATCACAAGGATCTGTCCAACCGGAGGGGTAAAGATCCTAAACCCACCGGCGCGCCGCCTCCTTGCCCTGCCCTGGGCTACTTCCACCCTGCCTTCGTCCGTCTCGGATTCTCCTAAGCTCCCTTCCTCTCCGCCCTTGCTCCTCCCTGTCCTCCTCCTCCCCTCCCGGCTCCTCCGTTGCGCCATTTAAACCTCCCGCGGCCGCGCACCATTACATTTCACCCAGATACTCCTACGTTAATCCCAAAGACTTTAGTGAGACCCAAGACTTTCAGTCCTCAGGAGACTCAACTGTATGCCAGTCAACGAACTGGAGTGACCCCGGTGCTACCAGTGCAATGGCAAAAAACTGATTAGATGTGTCCCTCTGCTCCGCTGATCAGCTGAGCCGCCACCGTGCTACATGGCACGCACGCTGTCAACGAGCCCCGTGCTGCCCCCATTAGCGACAGGGCGATCGCGGGGTCAGTGCGGGGTGGGCCCGCTTCCCTGGGGTATGCGGGTCCCGCCCCGTCAAAAGATGAAAGACGTCAACATGCCACACCACATGTTATGAAAGGTAACAGAAAACAAACGCCTGGCCCTGCCAACCTGACCTGAGGGAAATTCTTTTCTTGCCCCAAATCTCGTGATCAGTTGGACTCTGAGCATGTGACCACCAGCCAGACATCTAGCAAGAGGAGTCTTTGTGTCCCTGACAATACTGGTCCTCCCACCCTGTGTCCCATCTTCTGAGTCAATCTCTGATGCTTCAGGGGAAGTGGAAAGAGAAAACAAACAGTCTCAGAATACATCTACCCAATTATACATCAAGGGGAAAAAATCCTTCCCTGCTCCTGACGCTGACCTGTTGAACTCCCAGAAGCATGAGATTTGATTATAGTCATTGTTTTAATGCACAGCTGCAAGAGTTATGATCATGTGGAGGGCAATGCAGGTAATGTTCTCCCCATGGTCAATGAAGGAAAGTGATTCACAGGTCCAAAGGCCAGAAGGAACCACTGTGGTGATTCAGCCTGACTTCCCCCACACCAAAGCCATAACATTTCTCCCAAAATCCGGATTAAAGCATATCTTTTAGCAAGATGTCTGATCAAATCTTAGATTGCCAGCAATAGTGAGTCAACCACCTCCCCAGGAAAGCCATTCCAAAGTTTGTTTACTTTCTCAGCTAGGAAATTTCAAGGTTGAATTTGTCTAATGTTAACTTCCAGCCATTGAATCTTGTTATGCTTTTGTCAGCCGTGTTGAAAAGTTAGCAACTACCAGGATCGTTAGAAGATGTGGCACTCTGCTCCAGCATTTCTCCTTCCTGCCTCCCCTGCAGCCTCTCATATCTGTTCCTCAGAATGACCTATTGCACACACAGCTGGAGATGGCATAACCACTATAGGAGATAGTGGAGTTTCCTCTGTCAACATTCTGCAGACAGAGTTCCATTTTGCAAAAGGAGTTCTCCCACTGGCTGTCTCTAGACATTAAAAAGCCGGATTGTACCACGTAAGCAGCTCAAAGTGATCTTAGCAGACTAGAGAATCCAGTTCAAAATATCTATTAAACACTGCTGAGGAAGGCTATGTCTATGCTGCAGTGCTATTTTGGGATACCGGAGGTATCCCGAAATAGCTATTCCGCATCTTTTGAGCACACCCATTATTTTGAAATATAACGGGCTTGCTATTCCGATGTACCTGTAATCCTCATTCCATGAGGAGTAAGGGATGTTTTGGAATAGCTATTTATTTCGAAATAAGTGCTGCGTTGTAGCTATTTCAAAATTAACTCGAAATAAGATAAGCAATTTGCATAGCTTATTTCAAGCTAAGGGTGCTGTGTAAGACGTACGCGATAAAACCTTCACTTTATTTTTTTTCCTACACATCCAAATGCAAATGAAGTTTATAGCACAAAAATATTCTTTTGCT